TTTTAGATTTTTCGAAATCATTATTACGATAATAATATCCACCCTTGACCCGTAAGTTTGGGAGCAAAGGGGTTGGGCCTTTGGTTATTGTGGAGGGGAATGTTGGGGGTTTTGGGGGGTTTGGGGGAGAGGGATAGTGGGAGGTTTTTTAGGTGGGATGGGAGGGTTGTGGCCTGGTAGGAGGGGGGGGGAGGGGGATGGGAATTGGAAATGGGAATGGGAATTGGAAATGGGAATGGGAATTGGAAATGGGAATTGGAAATGGGAATGGGAATTGGAAATGGGAATGGGAATTGGAAATGAGAATGGGGGGAGAGGGATGAATGTGATTTTGGCACGGGGTTCATGCATCGGTCTATGAAGTCAAAGTCTGCCTGAGGCGTGGAGACGGTAAATATATACCGGGAGTAAGAAAGATTAACCGAGAAGCAGGAAGTGGAAAACGGGATTCTTAATCCACAATACGGCATGGTAACATTCGGGAACCATTGTAGCTGTAGAGGAGAAGAGGAAGAAGAGGAAGAAGAGGAAGAAGAGGAAGAAGAAGACCCAAAAAACACACTATATTAGCACATCGACGCACAACCGGAGACTTGATGAGCACACACATCCATTAACCCCAGCCCAGTTTACTCCCAGACCAGTCCCTAAGTTGTCAAACTCCACATTCATACCTTTAGCTAAATCCACACAAAGCACAATATACAACACGACAGGACTACTCATTCCTAACATCAAATAGCCATGTACGGCATCTCAACGCGCCCCAGCGCGTAATTTTGTCCTTGCTACCCTTCTGCGTTGCTCCTAAACAAATAAAAAAAGAAACCCAACTCCTCGTCGAAATTTTCCCTACTACACTACCGTATACACTGCAGATCCCCGCCTCCAGCACACGTAAAAAAAAAAAAAAAAAAAAAAAAAGTGCGCACGCATGCACACTTGTGCGTTTCCCATCTTCTTGAATTCACTCAATGTGGTTGATTTTCTTCTTTTCGCTGGCGCCTTTGATTACGCCGGAGAGGTCTACGACTGGGGTGTGTGTTAGGGCTGGGGGTGGTGTGGTAGGTAGAAGGAGGGGGGAAGGGACCACTCACGAGGCAAATCGAACGGAAAATCCACACTCGCCAACATCATAGCGAAAAAGATATACTACCACAATCCACAACATCAGCACCCTCCTCCATCACAAAAGCGGGTCCAGTTGGGGGGGGGGGGGAGTACAAAGTAAGCACAAGAGCGGCGTATACATACCCAACCAGCGATACACGCCACAAAAGCAAAAGCACCGGCAGCTTCCTGGAGCCGAGCAGCGAGCGCGGGTCTCCCGTTTGCGATTTGCAAAAAAGTACCGGCGAGGAAGCCAAAGGTTGGTGTGAGGCCGAAGAAGATCATGAAGAAGACGATGTTTGTGCGGATGGAGCAGATGAGGAAGACGAGGCAGAGTATGGCCATTGCGATCATGAGGTAGGCTGTGGGGAAAAGGTAGGAGTGTGGTTAGTACGGTGCGGTAGCCCAGTTGCGGAAAGTAGGCGGGGGGGCTCATGCAGGTTTGCAAACGTACCGATACCGACGTTGAAGCCGACGCTCTCGAGACCCGTGCTGGAGGCATTGTTTGGGTCGCGGTAGAGTGAGTATGCGCCGTAGGAGGGTTGGAGGGTTGCGCCGTAGCCGAGCCAGAAGGCGCCAAAGGAGCAGAAGACTATGAAGGGGAATGTGTTGCCGAGGATCCACTGCGAGGGGATTAGGAATTGGGAGGAGGGAGGAGGGATTGCAGGGCATGGTCTGTTACGTACCTCGCCGAGACCACTTAGCATCATCAGTAAGCCGCCTGCGAAATAGTACCATCCGATACTTGCTGCACCGCTACCTCCTGCGCCGCGCCAGCCCATTAGGGTCCAGCTGAGGGGCGTCAGTGCGAGTAGAAAGCCGATGATGCCACTGGGGTTGTTAGTTTTTGATAGTGTTTGGACAGAGGGTGGTTGCAGACTCACAGGGGTGTCGGGTTGCCAAAAGTCTTTCGCAGGTCTCCTTTAACCTCGTTCTGAGGCGATAGGTACAGCTTCTCGAACATCTCGGGGGACATGGAGATGCTGCCGGCTGGGCGGATTTTGTGAACGGCAGCATTGGAGTCGTAGGAGTCATCCAGATGCTGATGGTTATTGTGTCCGTTTGGATAGGCTGAATGTTGTCAGAGGCAGTGCGTGGTGGGCGAATCGCTGATGACATACCAGCGGTATCATCTCTTGTAATTGAGATGTCCTTCTCCAAGGCATTGTTGTTGTCGTTGTCGTTGTCCAACATCCTCGAGATTGATTCGTTCCTTGCCGTTGATACAGCAGACAATCTCTCGTCGCCCCTTGCGGCAGTGGTACCTAGGTGAGCGTCGTTGGTTGGATGCTTTTGTTGATCACCACTCATACCGATCTCTGTCTCACCCGGTAAATAAGCCTGTTGATGAAGACAGAAAGGCAAGGAGGGGTATGAGAAAGCCAACAAAATAGGTATGTACTACTATCGCACGAAAGGATGCTGAATGTTTCAGGGTCGGGAGACTGGGCTGGACTATATGAAAAGAGAGTGAGACTGCGCCACCAGGCCCAGTAAATGTTCCGAGTAGCAGGTCCCAAATTCTAGGGCACGGTGCATCATTCCAAAACAGCGTAGTCACCGGATCAAAGCAAGCGCTCGTCTACGATCATGGCCAAGGCTGAGAGCTGGATATGGTCAATACATCAAACCTGACTCTAGCGTCGGGGGAATATGGGGGACATTAGCTAATAATTGTGCGAAGATGATATTCCCGCGAGCTGAGACCCCGGAAGCGGGCAGAAATGCGAAACGAGTTTTTGAGCTGCAGTACCTAGTTGTTGAGCCCTGGAAGTCGTCGAACATGCAACGAGTCTGAGATAGGGAAGGCTGCTCAGGCCTGGGAGGAGGATGGATGTCCATCACCTACCGGTAACCTGTAAAACCGCGCCATTGGCATGAACCATGGCAACGAGCGATCAGAGCCATCACCAGAAGCACCATCCAAGCCACCCTCGATACTCGGCGTCCAACGTACACGTACCCAACCATGAAGAACCGATCTTGCCCAAACTTTGCATGCATAACCACCACCCGCAATCCATCACCAACAGGGCCAGGGTAAGCCGCAGCGTAGCGATCACGGAGAGGGAGATCTCACAAAAGAGGGGCCTTGACTGTGTTAGACAGTGACCCTTTACGCCGAGACAGGCTTGAGCCGGCGATGCGGAGAGGTGGAGCCATGGATTTCTGGAGAGGCGCTTGCCAAGAGTCTGGAGCGAGAGTAAGAATGCGGGTACGGTAGACGGTGCTGTGTTTAAAATGATCGTCGGCTCGACACGAACTAGGCATGTCGTTGCTGTGTGTAGTAGGGTCTGCGGGGAACCCGGTGCTAAACCTGCGACCACCCGTGACCAGGGAGCTGCTCACGTAGGTCAACCGGTACGTCCTCTACTGTAGCTAACTACAGTACCTACAATCCGGACCTATGGAGGCTGCAGATGTTGGTTACCGACTCTCTCCTGAGCACCACGAGGGGAGTCAAATGCGCTTGTGTGGTGCGACGGATGGCATGCTTGTACCGTGGAGACAACAAGAGGACAGACTTTGCCATGGCAATGGATCCACAGCCAGCCTGCAAGAGGAATGAGCAATGCATTCATTTGAGAAAGACCAAGACCAAGACGAAGGCGAACCTGTCGGCGTCGTGCCGGTGCAGTGAGGAGATCAACGTGCGCGTCCGCGCGGTACTCGACGGGATGCGTGCGTTGGGCGTTGCGGAAGCGCAGTGGGCATGTCGGATTAGTCGAATGATGGACCCATGACCCCCGCATTGCGTGCTGTTCCTAGTGTCAGTAACGTCAAGCATTGCGTGCAAGTCGTGCGTCCTTTGGCAGGCAGGCAGACAGGCGGACAGGCGGACAGGCTGGTGGTGTGACCGGGGAGGAGCATGGCGCATGGGTACCGGTAGGAGACTCGAGGACGAATGGCTGCCTTCGTCCGGAGCCTCGGAAGCGCACTGCCTCGGCGGATCCGCTTTGCCCAATGCAGTTCACCATGTTCATGGAGTACTGTTAGATGTGTACCTACTACTAGGTAGGGAGGCTGACGGGAGGACCGGAAAGTTGTCTTGTAATTGTCCAAATCGTGCACACAGTTTGGGAATGGGCTTGCTGCAATTTGGCTTCAGCGTCCGGCACCGTAGGTAGGTATTCCCGTCCACATGAGAACTAACCGTTGGAAAAATGGCACTGGTAGATCAGATCAGTAATAGCAAAAGAGAAATCCCTCTTCGTCCTCGATTTCCATTGTCGTGATACCATTTGCTCCTTTTCGGCGACAATCGCGGCCAGACTGGTACATTTGTTGTACCTAGCCTTACCGTCTCTTTTTTCCTCTTTTTTTTCTCTGCACCATGACAGTTGAAAATTGACGACGGATCCATACTTTTAGGTAAACAGAACGTCCAGATGTCGCGTTGAACCGGACAGGGACCCGCTAGTCCTTTGCTGATGAGTAAATGGCTACAGGAATTCATGAAAGAAGATTCCGGGGACCGTCACCGCCAGACTTGTACCTAGGCTCGGCGTCAAAATTTCAAAAGTAATGACAATGTGATGACGCGTCCAAAGCTCATATGCAAGAAAAGGACGTTGGTACCTAGCAGGACAGGGTGTAGAACAACTGCAAATAGCCTTTCCCTTGCCTGGGTCCCTAGGGTGAAGGGCACGTGTAGTGTCCTATTCTTTGCTACATCACGTAAAACAAGAGCTATATTACGTGCTGTTAACTCTGGTTCGGTAAGGAAAGATTTTGGGACAATTGTCAAAGTTTTTTTCTCCCAAAAAGACGTTGAAGGAACAAGGATTGGACGCACCACCCTAGTCATTGCAGCAATAAGACGCTAGCAGGCTGCTGTGTCATGTGTTCTCTCCTCTCGAACGAAGACGTTCCTGGACAACGCAATGGTCATTTCGCCGTGCACACCGCGTTTTGACGGGCAGTCGGGCCTTGCCTGGTGACGGACGGCTACTGGTTAGTCCCGAGAGATGGGAACGCTGCCTCGACAGAGACGGAGACCAAAAACAACGTTGGTCTCTGCAAGGCAAAAGCAGTTGGCAAGTGGCCCAGTTGCAAGCCCTCCATCCAACCGAGAGTTGTACCGATTCTTCTGTACAGTCCCGAGAACTGATAGCGTCATGTCGGGCGGCCTCGGTCATATAAAGGCTGTCTGGTAGTCGTCAAAGCAGACAGCTGTGCTTGACCAGCTCGAGTTTGGATTGCTGAGTATTGCTACTCCTATACAAAATGTTAGCATTACGAAGCAACAAGTGCTCGAAAACCAGCACATGCGGGGGAGAAGATTGGGTAAGAGATTATCCATGGAGTCGGATCAGGGAGGGTGATGGTAGTAATCAACGTAAGACGCTCACCTCCTGGGTTGGGTCGGGTTGAGTTGAGTTGAGTTGAGTTGGGTTGAGTTGAGTTGGGTTGAGTTGAGTTGAGTTGAGTTGAGTTGAGTTGGATCCCTGGCCGTCCGCTCATCACTAATCACGAATGTCGTCCATGTGGAACAAAGGTAGCTCGAGTGGTACAGTGGAAGGTTCATGTCTTATGCTTCCTTCCGTATATCTCTCGTGTTTCCTTGTGTATATCGAGCCAAGGTGATGGTCATCGATCATCACTCATATAAAGTGAATCAGGTCGACAGTGTTTGGCTTGGAGCGACAGATGCAAAGCCCCATTTCTTATAGAGTACTGGCAAGAGCACATGTGGGGCCGTGGGTTGACCCGTTGTGGACAGAATTATTGGTAATTGGTATTTACTCTTTAGACGTACCGAGGCATGGCAATTGCTACCACTCCATGCCCGAATCCATCTACAGGCCTCAGACCTTAGGCCCCACCCACTTCCTCAATCACCTTTTTCAGATTGAGAATGTCGTGTGCAAAGCGACCAAGAAACAAGCCATCCACACCTTGGGCAATCTTGGCAAAGGTGCCAGGCCCAGCACTGCCTCCGTACACGATTCTCGTCACGCCTTTTCTTCCAGCCGCCAGTTTTCGTAACTCTTGGGTGACATTGACGACATGGTCCGCATCTGCAGGCTCCCTTGCGCCAATGGCCCACACGGGCTCGTACGCTAGAATGACCTCTTGATCGTCAGGTACCGCGGCCAGCACGGATTCGATCTGGGGCTTGCATTCTTGAATGGCAGTGCCCACCGCAGCAGACGCAACCTCGTGGTGTGTCGTCTCTCCAACGCAGACGAGCGGAATGATGCCGTTCCTCGCCGCAGCCCCAGCCTTTTTCGCAACCCAGTCCTCCGTCTCGCCAAAGTGGGCTCTGCGCTCTGCATGGCCAATCTCGACCAACTTGACCCCTGCCTGTCGCAATACCACGGGGCTGACTTCTCCTGTGTAGGCGCCGTTGTCTTCCCAGAAGGTGTCCTGGGCGCCCAGCAGGATGGACGAGGATTCGAGGATGCGCGCAGATTCGGTGAGCGAGATGAAGTCTGGGATAACGAAGAGGTCTATGTTGGCATTCCAGGCGTCGCCGTCGAGTTGGAGAACACCGCGAAGGTAGGAGAGCGTGGCAGGCAGGTCAAAGTACATTTTGAGCGACACGCCGACCAGGCGGCGGGGTCGTTGTTGTGTAGGAGGCATGGTGGGGGGGGTGAAGAGAGAGGCAGAGGCAGAGGAAGATGCGTACGTGTGTGAGGGCCAGGTCCAATGTGAGTCTCGTGAACAAGCAAAGACTGCAGTGTATCCCGTCACGTCTTCCAGCCAGGTATACCGTCTTTCACGTTCAGCATCAGACGTCTTGGTGGCATTGTCGGGCTTACTCAATGAGGAAAGCCGGGGGGGGGGGGGCGCAAAAGAGGGGGAACATAGAACAGAACCAGGCAGCAGCCAGCACCGCCGACTTTAGGCGAGATCGCAGGCGCAACCGACGGCTTGGCAGGGCATGGGACGAAGCACGGTTGGGCAGAGAGAAGGAGGGAGAGAATGAATGAAAGAAACAAAGAAAGAAAGAATGAAAGAATGAAAGAGTCTGTGTATGTATACATGTGGCATGGATACTATGTCGTTGTGGATAGGTGGGTGTACTCTAGGTGGGGCTGGCTTCACACGTCGGAACGGAGAACTCGACCACACGCTTCACCCACTCCAAGTCTCCCAGCATCCCGTGTCTCCTGTCAAGCTAGAGTACTCTACGCAGGAGAACAGCAGACATGGGCATTGTCCTGGCCATGGCAGCCTACAAAGAATCCCTCCCGTCCCGGTCCAGTGTCTGTCTGCTCAAGAATGCTCTCAAGAATCCCTCCCGTCCCGGTCCAGTGTCTGTCTGCCCACCCACGCTAACCCAACTTTCCCGATGATCCCACCGCTAAGCAATCCTGCACGTCAACGCATCACGGCCTTGATCTTCTGTTGCTGCTGCTGGCCTCAGGACAAAACTGTCCCCATCCCCCCCCCCAAAGCTCTCTTGTCGTCGAGAGTACATGTCGCGTCTTCTCGCAGATCGCTGGGCCCGCAAGCGCTATTTCGGATAGTTTGTGGCACGTTGAATGGACCGAGTGTTACCACCCTGGTAGAGTATAGTAAGTTTCGGTGTGAGTTGGGAAGCGCATCGCGGCCTGCATCCTGCTCTCCATCATCACCCGTGAGACTGTAAGCCGCGGCTGACCCCGTCCGCCTCGACAGAGACGCACTTTCTTCCCTGTTTCCCGGTTCCCTTGCCCACCTTCTTCTTCCTCGACCGACCAACCGGCCACCATGCACATCTCCAAGAAACTGGCCCAAGCCAGGGAGGACGGAAAGCCCACCTTCTCCTTCGAGTTCTTCCCCCCAAAGACAGCCCAGGTAGGCCGCATGCTGTGCTTCGAGCTTTCTTGGCCTGACAGTCAATCTACAGGGTGTCCAAAATCTCTACGACCGCATGGACCGCATGCATGGCTTCGGTCCTCAATTTATCGACATCACCTGGGGCGCCGGTGGTCGCCACTCGAAGCTCACCTGCGAGATGGTCAAGGTTGCCCAGTCCGTCTACGGCCTGGAAACGTGCATGCACCTCACCTGTACCGACATGGAGAAATCGAAGCTCGACGAAGCATTACGAGACGCCTATCAATCTGGCTGCACAAATATACTCGCCTTGCGCGGCGACCCGCCCCGTGAGAGGGAGAAGTGGGAAGCTACTGCTGGCGGCTTCCGCTACGCCAAGGACCTGGTCGTCTACATCAGGGAGCGTTATGGAAATCATTTCGACATCGGTGTCGCCGGCTACTCGGAAGGCAGCGACGACAACGACAATGTGGACGAGCTCATCGATCACTTGAAGGAAAAGGTGGACGCAGGTGCAACCTTCATCGTCACCCAAATGTTTTACGACACAGACATCTTCCTCGAGTGGGTGCGCAAGGTCCGAGCCAAGGGCGTCGACGTTCCCATCATTCCAGGCATCATGCCCATCCATACCCATGCCGCCTTTTTACGCAGAGCCCAGTGGACTAGATGCAACATCCCACAGCACTGGACCGAGGCGCTCGAGCCTGTGAAGAACGACGATGTGGAAGTGCGCGAGGTCGGAAAAGGCCTGGTAGCAGACATGTGCAGGAAACTCATCGACGCTGGCATCCTGCATCTCCATTTGTAGGTGGTGGCATGTAGACAGCGCGCACAGGGTCACTGACACTTCTAGCTACACGATGAACCTTGCACAAGCCACGCGTATGGTCTTGGAAGAATTAGAACTGCTGCCCGATCAGCGATCACCTCTCGAGAAGCCCCTGCCATGGCGACCTTCCCTCGGCCTCAATCGCCGCGAGGAGAACGTACGACCCATTTTTTGGCGCAACCGCAACCGATCCTACGTCGCACGTACACAAGACTGGGACGAATTTCCCAACGGCCGCTGGGGTGATTCTCGATCACCTGCTTTTGGTGAATTAGACTCGTACGGTATCGGTCTCAAGGGCACCAACGAGCAAAACATCAAGCTCTGGGGTACACCCATCTCTATTCGAGACTTTTCTGATCTGTTTGTCCGCTACATGCAAGGCAAACTGGATTCATTGCCATGGAGTGAGCAGCCCATCACCAACGAGGCCGGCTCTATTCAGGACGATTTGATCGATCTCAACCGTCGCGGTTTCCTGACCATCAACTCCCAGCCTGCTGTGAATGGTGCAAAGTCGTCTGATCCGGTCTTTGGATGGGGTCCCCGCAACGGTTACGTCTACCAGAAGGCTTACCTAGAAGTCCTGGTTTCGCCCGAGTATATTGGCGAGATCATCAGCCGAATCGAGCGCGACGAAGAGTTTACCTATTACGCTGTCAACAAGGACGGTGATCTCAAGACGAACGCACCCAATGAAGGTCCTAATGCGGTGACCTGGGGCGTCTTCCCTGGCAAAGAGATTGTGCAGCCTACGATTGTAGAGACTGTCAGTTTTCTCGCGTGGAAAGACGAGTTCTACAGACTTGGCCAACAGTGGGCCAACTGTCATTCGTCCGTGAGCCCCGCGCGCCACGCTGTCCAGAAGGTAGTGGATACTTGGTACCTCCTCAACATTGTACACAACGATTTCCATGCTACTCGCGGCATCTTCCCCATCTTTGATGGACTGGCAGTGAAGGATATGGACAAGCCAATCCAGAGCCTTAGCGGTGAGGTAGCGACTTCCAACGGCCAGGAAGCTACCCGGGAAACGAACAGCACGAACGGTGCCGACGCTGCCAAAGGTGCTGATGGTACAAACGGAGCCAATGGCACCAGCGGGACGCTCCCAGAGTACTCCACAATGGAAGACGCCAACTTAATCGATGCTGCCAAATCTGCAGCCGTCGAAGTGACCAACAAAGTGAAGAAGCTGGCCCTGTCCAACTAATTCCATTTATTCGCCCGCCAAGCAATCTTACTCTTCTCAGTACGCCGACACCCCTTGTTTCGGCTTTGTATCATCCTTGAATCTGCACCGCCTGGTGTAGATGATCCTCATCCACTTTTCAACAGTGGCATCTGCCTCGGCTCCCGCTCTCAACCGCTGGCCACTTTTCTTCCATGGTAGTTTCATCCCCCATCTTTTTTATTCTTTTCCACATCGTGCTCAAAAGCACACCCACTTGCATCTTTCCCCTTCGTCCTTCTCTCTTCTTTGCTCTTTTTTTTTCCAATTTCTACTACAAGAAAAAAGCATCTGGGAGGCGTCTCTTCAACCTGACGACCGTAATGATACAGCAAATCATTCATGTGGATTGCAACCTATTTTTCAAAAGAACAACGCACAAAGGAAAATCCCCCCCAAGGGCCCCAAGGGAATATAAAAAGGGGGGATGTTTGCTGTTTAGCTATTGGGCTTGCTGGTGCATGGCATGCATTGGAATGCAGAGTCGAGCCTTTTCGAAGAAGAGATACCCGACGGGTTGTTTTTTTGCCCTCAACGGCACTCGTCAAATGTGTGTGTTTTTACTTTTTTTTGTCAATGTTGTTGTTGTTGTTTTTTGCCAAGGAAAGATGGAGGTTTTGGGCATGGTCGGTGATTTGGGATTTTGTTCCTGGGTTCCGAGCGGGGGGATAATACATGCTAGTTTGTCAAGTTTTATGAATAAAACAGAAATGTGCGCATTATTCGCATGTTGTGACTTGCTTTGCGGTCTGTGGATGCTAGCTGGAAATTGCTATGCTTGTGTGAGCAATGATGAGTAGATTTGGTGTACTTTTTCTTGGTATGTGGGAATATGCTGATTGTGGTTGTGCGTTGTGCGTTGTGCGTGCTCGATGGTGCGGTGAGATTGATATTGATACTTGAACAAAATCTTCCACCAATACGCCCCCCCCCCCCCCCCCCAAAAAAAACCCCCAAAAAACCCGCCACTCTTTGCGAATACCTGGGCGTCGTGCATGCGTGCGTGCGTGCGTGACATGCATTGCCTTGAACAGTCAAATAGCTATGCCCAGCTAGCCTATGAATCTGACCCAAGGCCAAAAAAAAACCAAAAAAAAAAAAAAAAAAACTCCATCAGCAGTACACGGCTACAAGAAGAAAAGCGAATTGATGTCCAGACTGAATGGACAGAGTAGACTGAAATCCAGCCCATGCTCGCCCTCGGCCCTGCAATCCGCAAATCCAGCAACAAAAGCCCAAACTCGGCTCCAACCAAGCATACACGCACTAGCCCGCTTCCCTCACAACATCAGCATCTCCCGCCCTCGCCCTCACCCACCTGAACCCGGAAGCGCATCGGGCTTGCCAGCCTGGGGTCTACGAAAAGGATGGGCCTCTGTGTTGAACACCCACTCGTCCAGACTGATCATATCCGGTCTACTAAAGATGAGGTAGAAATACTTGAGCGTCTCGGCGGTCCAGAAACTTTCCATCTTGTCTTCAATGTTGCTGGCTTGGTTGGGGTCCGAGATGGCGTCTGTGGTGTCGGTACTAGTGGCAGTAGCAGCAGCAGTGGTGGTGGTGGGGGTTGTCCGAGGGTCTTGAGAAGTACGCAGCACGTTCTTGACCTGCCCGTTTGCATACCGTGTGCGGGATGCGCGCACAATAGCGACGAACATGTCCCACGCGTGATTTAGATAGACGCGATTGCCCGTGGCGCGATACATGACAAAGACCGACTCAATGGCCTCTGGCCGCAGCAAGTAGCGCGCGTCTTGAATAATGAAGCCCGGCACGCTTTCGCGCGTCTCCCCACTGACGGCTTCGTCCCAGCGCGTCTGGTTCCAAGGGCAAGAGGCGCGGTCGGCACAGGGCAGCATGGAAAAGGTTTCAGGCATGATACCCGAGGGCATCGAAGCGTAGGCGTGGATGCAGCCGTTGGTCAGTTTTGCGCCGAGCGTGACTTGGGCGGGGAGATTGAAGAGCCGGCCTGCAAGGGCGAACATGCCGCCGATGAAGCAGGTGAGGTGCTGGCCCTGGGGGTCGAGGTTGGGTACGTCTGTGCTCCACACGCTTGCGTCGCCAGATACGAGAATGTTTTCGCCGTGGTCGGCGTTGGGGACCATAGGCCGGAAGATCAGGTGCTGGTCTATTTTGGTGGCGGCGGTGGTATACATGCTTTCATAAATTGGGTCGAGGCCGCCGAGGAGGGCGTGCATTTTCGGGAAGTATTCGTACGTCGAGTCGGCGAGGGCGCCGATGGAAAAGCGATTCGATGAGTTGAAGAGTTGGGTGGTGGGGTTAAAGGTGGTGGGCCAGAGGCCGGGAAGTTTAGTGTTGGACTGCTCGCGTTCGAGGAGAAGGCTGACGCGGGCTACAATGTCGTAGTATTTGGGCTCAGATGTAATTTGCGCAAGGCGGGTGAATTCCATGGTCAGGGAGCCCAGGCAGGCGAAGCAAAGACTGTACTCATTCTCAAATTCTGTGCGCTCCGCGACTTTAGCAGCTTCAATGTCGAGTGAGCCGAGAGGCATGTGGTTTGCCGTGTCGAAGGCACGGTAGATCATTTCTCCCACTTGTATGGCCTTTTCAAGCAGCATCGGCTCCTGGCTCAGATCGTAGGCGCTTAAGAAGCCCCCGAGATATCGAATGGTGGTCTCGAAAACGCTTATGGCGTTCAAGTCTGTCGTACCAAAGTCAATGGTTGCCACGGCGTCCAGGGCTTCATGAAATTGTTCCTTGAGCCCCATAATCCATAGTGTATCCAGCGAGTCTACCAACGTTGCGCCCCAGCCGCCAAATGCCTCGGTCCCCCCTCCGCTCACTGGGAGCAGCTCATCTTGTTTCCAAGCAAGGACTCTATAACTCTCCCAAACAACCTTGAACTCCTCTCTCACATAATTTCTCCTTCTCTCTCTCTGTTTCCTCTCTGCTCTCGTTTCCGGGAAGTCTTTGGATTGGATGCGTGGTAGGTCGCGGGGTTGGCCGCTTGGTAGTGGTATGTAGGATTTGATCTTGTTTATGAAAGGCGCCGTTCGCCAATCGTAGGATTGTTCTGCTCGCAGATTGTGGGTCGCATCGTTCATATAAGCCTGATGGTGATCAAAGGCAACGGCTAGAGGATCGATTGGCCTCTCAGTGTACAAGTAGTATGCGGCGAATAGCATGGTGCCGACAAGCAGGTATGTCAGCGTCCGCTTGTGTTGTCGCGAATAAGGCGTAAAAGGCGCGCTCCGCCGCAATCGGATCTTAGCCATGGTAAGAATACTGAGCCCGCCTGGCAGTTCTCATCGAGGGTCGAATGTTTCCGCCAGCGGTGCTGATGTGTTAAGACGTGTGACGACGACCCGATATCCGAGTAACTCGTAATGGTATATGTGGGCCAACGCGAACCACCCTGAAAGGAGGATACTGGGTGAGAGAATGGAAGGAAATGTTAGCGAGGTAGGAAGCGCGAGGAGGATGCCATGATCGATTGGACAATCATGTCAACAAAGGGATACTGGGCGGAGTGACAAGTGTACAGAGGACCTGGTATCGAAAGCACGTCCATGTCAGTGCAGAGCAAGTACCTGCCAAGCTAAGATGTATCGGCAGAGTGCGGAAACTGCAGAGGGAACAGTGGGAGGGTGGGTGGGCTGACGATGATTGGCGTTATACTCGGCGGTACCATGTAAACACAGCTGGTCAATTGACGTCTCCCAGGGAAATAGATGAAGGGCACACGGAAGCCAAAGCCAACGGGCGAAGCGTGCTGTGTCGTGCGCTTCGGGGTCGTCTTGCAATGTGCGGCGACGGCCCCGCTTGTCTGCATTGGTTCGGCGGTTACTGACCGTGTGCCAGAATTCCAGATCCCTCCGTCTTTACCGACATGGAGTCGACATATCAGGTGGGCATTCGACACACGCTGGTCCACTCCTGTACCGTGATCAATGGGGACGGACTGTGGGGTGTGTACAAACATGTTCGACGAGCAGAGGTTGCTTTTGATTTGAGCACTCACCAACGCCCACTGAGCGCATGTGGTTCTACGCTCTCCACACATGACATGATGCTCGGTATGATGCTGGTGCTTGATGTGGTGCTAGGGCATGCTTGAAGAGTAGTGCTTATTCCAACTGGCAATTTCCCACCTCAAAACTATGTCGGCATATGTCGATCCTGTAGTGGCTCCTCCATGTTGGTGGTATACCCTCGTCCCATCATCAGTGCCCTGGACCAGGCATGGCATTCCACAGGCACTACCTGGGTAGTTACTATGTATGTGTACCTATGTTGGGTATCAGAAACAGATCCATCATCGGCCAATGTCTCAAAGCAAGATGGTTGGTCCACCCTCCTAGTCGCTGGCCTTGTACCTCGCCCTGTAGTCGTCCAACCTCTTCCGATCCTCCTCACCTCCCAAACTCTTCAGATACTCGACGACATCGTCTAGCGTCAGGATGGCCAGAACAGGGATCCCATACTGCTTCCTCACCTGTCCAATCGCACTCGGCCCAGGCTTGCCATCATCGTCATTTGCAGTCGGCGTCTTCTCTTGTCTGTCAAACGCGACAATGATGCCCACCAACTCCCCACCCTCCCTTTTGATGATTTCAATCGCTTCCCGAATCGCAGTGCCAGCAGTGATGACATCATCGACAATGACAATCTTCTTCCCCTTGAGACTTGCACCGACAATGTTGCCACCCTCGCCATGGTCCTTGGCTTCCTTGCGGTTGAAACTATAGCTCTTTTTCCCATACTTGCTGCAATCTAGGTCGGCCAGTTTGTCGATGGTAGCTGCGGCCAGAGGAATGCCTTTGTAGGCGGGGCCGAAGAGGATGTCCCATTGGAAAGTGGGGTCTGCTTCACCATGGGCTTTGAGGGTGTGAGCGTATGCAGAGGAGATGGAACGCAGCAGATCTGCGCGGTGGAAGAGTCCTGCGTTGAAGAAGTAGGGGGATGTGCGTTTGGATTTTAGGGTGAAGGTGCCAAACTTGAGGGCGTCGGCGGCCACGCAGTCCTTGAGGAAAGCTTGCTTGTATGCTGGGAGCGCCATTGTACTGTGAATTGGATTGGTGTCTAGTTTTCCTCGAGGACGAAGATCTAGGCCGGAGATTGGTTGATGTCGCAGTCGCAGTCCTTGAAATGATGTTTCTTTCACGTCCCCTAGCCTTCCTTGCTCTGAATCTCCGAATTCCTTTCCGATGTTCGGAATCAAAGTGGCGGACAAGACCCTTCGAGAAAGAGAAAGTCGATTGGCCCGTGGCCCGTGCACTCCAATCGTTCCGTCACGCTCACCAGAACTTTTCGCGACAAGCCTGGACATCGACGCCTCCAACCCAATCCCTCACCCGCCGTCTGCCTGCGCATCTTCGCCTCAGCATTGCCCCCTTCTATTTTTCCCTTTGATCTCTTCTGCAGCATTTCAGGCGTTGAAAAGGAAAAGAGGGAACATCAATCCGCGACTGTGCTGGCGGTATATCGAGGAAGAAAAATAGCTGGGCGCAGCCTTCAGTCGCTTATTTACTACCGTCACTCGTCAGAGTCGACCATCTTCAAAAATGACCATGTATGGCATACACCACCTTCCACCCACATGTATTCCAGTCCTTGTCCATTTCCTAACAAACCCCCAGCTGGGACAGCCTCACGGGACGAAAGTCCGCTCCCGCACCCTCACAATCGCCACAGACGCAAAACAACGACTTCGTAAAAGAAGACAGCTTTCAAGCCATCCCCTTCGACCCAAGCACCATCCAGAATCCCCTCCAAGTAACCTATGACCCTGTGCAATTACACCCCCTCGCCGGCCTCACCCAAGACACACTTGAATATCTGTCTCTCGAGGATTCCGTCCTTTCCGACAACCAATCTGCGCTCCCGTCCCGCGGCTGGTCAGACGACTTGTGTTATGGAACTGGTGTCAGCTACCTCACCGCATTGTCGATAGGAGGAGCATGGGGGTTAGCAGAGGGACTGAAGAAGAACCCGCCGAGCATGCCACCGCGGTTGCGACTGAACGGTGTTCTCAATGCGATTACACGGCGAGGTCCCTTTTTGGGAAACAGCGCGGGTGTGATTGCAATGGTCTACAATGGGATAAACAGCACAATTGGCTACTACCGAGGCAAGCACGACATGACCAACAGTGTGGTCGCGGGCGCCCTCAGCGGCGCGATATTCAAAAGTACGCGGGGCACAAGGCAAATGGCGATTAGTTCTGGCATTTGCGCCGCTGTGGCAGGAAGTTGGGCAGTATGTCTCCTCCTTTGTGGAAACTCCACCGTCAAATCACACAGCGCGTTAACAAAGTCTACAGATTACGAGAAAGGTCTTCTTCGAACCCGCATCTGACCATTCCCACTCATAACCGAGATTCACCCTTCTCCCCTCTCGCCCTTGATATCGATTCAAGTCCCTCCGAATCAATCAAAGCCACACGCACAGGGAATGGACGAAGATTCCCCCTTCCTTTTCCGTTCTTCTCACCGTCGCGTCCACAGCCACCACCCTTAGGTCATAGCACCATCTAGCGCCTCTCTCGCCACTCTGGGACTCAACCCCCTGTACAATAGCCAGCCGTTTTTTATTCCTCCGACTTTTATTCCCAAAGGAGACGAGAAGCAGAAGCAGAAGAAGAAGAAGAAAAGAAAAGCGGCGTAATCTGACAATTCACATTTGACCAGCCGGGTGTTGCTGTCGTTGGGAATTTCTCACTCATCTGTGCGCAGGCATTTTTTTTTGCTACTTTTTTTTCTTGGTGGTGATGGTGGGGTTTTCTGGGTGGCCAGGATTCCTGTTGTATCAAGAGTAAATGTACGATGTAGACATGATCAAAAGGAGAATGATGGTAATGTGAATGCAAATGTGACTAAGATTATTGCGTCTTTTGGGAGCCGGAGAGGCGGGTTCACATGTTTGTGACGTGCATCTATCCTGACTCCGCCTTTGAGGCGTCGTGTATGTGCGTGTATGCTTTGGAGCTGGTATGTTGGCACATCGGTAAATCCAATCTGCATGCCAACATACAACGACAAATCACCAGACTCTCGATTCAAGTGCCCTTTTTCCGTTCAAATCAACTGCTTTCCCCATGGGACATCCACATCACATGAGCAAACGGGGTGTGTGATATATAAACATGAATTTGTATTCGTATTCAAGCACGTCAAAATCGTAAAACTGACGAGCTGGTATATCGACTTCGCATGCCATTCCGAAACGCCTACCATGAAAAGAATTTTTCGTCACAGCCGCCAGACAGCCAGCCAGCCAGACAGACAGACACGATGTGCGGAGACAATTAATATTGGAAATGGCCGCTCGTCTCTATCTGTGGCTAGTCTTGCCGATACCACGCTTACCAGCAGTCTAAAAGAGTACGTTAGTGGCTTTGTTGCAATGTAGAGTGCTGACGTGAACAAGAAAAAGAAAGGGAAAAACCAAAGGAGACGTACCAAATGTTTGATCAACGAGCCAGTCGAATGTCTATCCGCCTCACCCTGTCGGGCCATTCTGTTCATCTTCCTCTGTGAGAGCTTGGCCACCTTCTCTGCCTTGGAGGCGGCAGCTTCATTCGTCACTCCGTCCGTTCGCCTGTTCGTGCTCGCGCTTCTTCCGCGGCTCTTGGCCCGCTCAGACGCAGTTCTAGGTATGTCAATGTCCATGGCGTCGCTGTTGGGTCCTTCTGATCGTCCACGGGCAAGGCTGCGGCCTCGAGCTTGGCTTTGAGCACGCTCGGCCACCTTGGAGGAGTCGTAGCCAAGACTCTCGAGATGGGATTCCATCTGGGACAGCTGCTTTGCCTTCTTCGTTCGGGGAATGACAGCCCTATTCTTGAGACTCTTGCGCATCTTTGCTTCGTTGCGGATCAGCTGCCTCTTCTCGCGAATGAGCTCAGCTTTGTACCGGATGTCGGCTTCTTCCGCATCCTCGAGCTCGTCTTCCGATTCGTAGAAGCCCTCGGCCTCGAGCTTCTCTTCTTCCGCCTCCAGAGCAGCCAACTTAGCCTCAATGTCAGGGTCGATGAAGTCGTAGACATTCTGGCCCTTGAAGACTTCGGGAATGCGATCATGCTTCCAATCGTCGTTTTCGAGCAGGTAATTCTTGCGCAGATCAATGTTGTATACGCCGGCTCCACCATCGGCTTCTTCGAGATCGCGTTCTAGCATCGGTCGGTCTGGATCGTTTTTGTCGTACTTCTTCCTGTTGAGTACTGCTTCTGGGATAGAGGTTTCACGAGTGACGCCGCCCAGAGGCTGGGCAACGTGAATACGACGAAGGAGTTCCCCGAGACGGCCAGATGGTTCGCCAGAGCTGTTGGTACCAGCCTTGAGCTTCTCAGCATTTCGAGCCGCGATCAAGCGGTCGCAAACGGAGTTTCGCACAGCCATGACGCCCTCGAGAGTGTTGCAGGACAACTCCAGCATCTCAACCTCGCCAGACTTCAGCATGCTCTGTAGTTGCTCCTGTGTTTCGGCGTCCAACTGGTCGGGCTTCATAAGATCAATCTTGTTGATGACAACTGAGATCAGCTTGTTCGCGAACAGAGGCTTGATGTTGTTGAAGAGGGCGATTTGCGAAGCGACAGAGTAACCGCACTGCTCACTGAGATCCATGAAGTAGAGGATGTGTGCACGGAGATGGGCGATGGCGCAAATTGACTGATGTTCAATAGTGTTCATGTCTTCGAGCGCATGGTCCAGAATTCCAGGTGTATCTACTGCTTGAAATCGGAGCATCTTGTAGTCGCTTTTGCGGTGTTAGCGTGGTTGCGAGCAGAAGCGCTTGAGCAAGACGTACAAATGTCCCACGTAGAGACTCTTGGTGGTGAAAGCATAAGGCTGCACCTCGACATCGGCTCGCGAGATGGACTTGAGGAAGGAAGACTTTCCCACATTGGGGAAACCAGCAATGACGAGTGTGCGGGTGTTGGGGTCGATGGAGGGCAGACGACCCAAATGTTGCCTGACCTGCTCGAGATAGACGAGTGGATCCTTCAGGCGCTTGCAGATAGTCGCCATGCGACCAAGCGCTGCCCTCTTGAGCTGCTTGCATTGGAAGAGCGATTGGCCGTACTTCAACAGGCGCACGTAGTCGCGAGCGACAGTCTCAATGAGCGTCTTGGCAGTCGACAACTGGCCAAGGGCAATTCTGAAGTGATCGGCATCGTATAGGGTGTTAAGGAGATCGCGGTGGAAGGGATGGATGTCAGCCAGGCGAGGGAAGGCTTCGATTGTGGTGGAGAGGCGCTCGGTGAAGGTCTCGGCCGTGTACTTGACCTTGCGCGTGTAGAAGGCTCGGATACGACTGATCTTAAAACCTGCTCGGATCTGCGTAGGCAGTCGGCGCTCTACGATTTGTTAGCATGTTACCGCTGTTGTGCGCTGTATGTTGGTGAGGATTCGCTCGTACGTCTGCAAAAAAAGTTAGTGTGACACAATATTTTGACACGGCAAAAAGAACATACGTTCTAGAGAGGACAATGTCCAGGAACTCCTGGCTCGTGGGCACAGCAGGAATATCTTTCCACTGAGTCTTCATGTTTGCGACTGCGAGGAGAGATTTGTGGCGGCGAGTCTGCGAATTGTCAAAAAGTTGTCGGCCTATCGATAATTTCAGGGCTTCGTTCCCCACTAGGCTTGCGCCAAGAGTTCGGTGGCCGGGGCTTTGCGGCTCTGCCAAGGCCAGATGGACTTTCACCCCTCACGTGCAAGCGTCTCCAGAAAACACAACGCCGGACAAGAATTCAATTCAGACACCATCTTATCCATCTCTCGAACATTCATCAAGCAGCTTGCTTTTTGATTCGTGGTGGCAGCACTCAACAGTCTCGCTGATTTGGCTCGCCCCTCCATTGGTAGTCTCTCGTGTCTTGGCAGTCAAGCTCTCCGCCTGCATTGGTGCTGTATGACTTCAGTCAACCATTCTACCTCTCGAACCATAACATTTACCACGGAGCGTTACTCAACATACGCAATGTCGGGTCACTCGTCTGCTTGGAACTGGCTTGATGGCTCGACCAGCGACAGCTCATAACATGGTTTCGACCTAGTGTTAGCCGAATCTACAAGTCTTTGTCTGGCCGAAGCCTGGTCCGGTTGTAGTTAAACTGCCAAATGTCTCAAGTAATACATTAGCAACCTACTCAGTCTCCATACGTGGCGGGCACAATCTTCATGGTCCAGCATGGCACACATTCCCCCTCTGGAGGACGGAGGCACGCATTGTCACGTTTCTACCTGTGAATGGCTCCACTTATCCAATCTCACTGCATTACAAAATGTCCCACAACTACGTCCAAATCCCGAATTATCTGGTATAGGTGTCAGTCTAATCTGGCTCATCCTTGAGAGCAGTTCGTGCGTAATCAGGCTGACATCAAATCTAGGTGGTGCTTGGTTTCTCCATATCAGCATACCTCACAATAGCCCTGCTCATGCTCCACTACCTCACAGTGCATGACTTTGAACGCATTAATTCCAGGGGAGACAAATATGTGAATTCGATTGATCGCGGGATCCTCACTTTTGTCCGTGGACGCATCATTTTATGGAAGCCAAGCAAGCGGTTCGAATATGCCATGGAGAAGTCAGTTTTGATCCTTAGCGACTTGAATCTTGTCACTGGCATCGGCCTTCTCATCGCAGCTTATTCACAAGTCCGCTGTGGTCTCTCTGCTTATCACTGGCAAATTATGGTCTTTGAAGCTTGGTAAGAATCTTTTCAGTGTCACATTTGTGCTTATGAACTGACCGTCGGTATTTCCCATAGGTTCGCAAGTTTCTCTTTCGTCTCAGCCATGACTTTTCTCGATGGCTACCTGCAGTCAAACAGAAACATGCGAATTATCCGCGTTGTTTCAATCTGCATCCTTGGCACACTTTTGATTGCTGCACTGCTTCCCACAGGCTCCAAAATGTGGCTCAATCAATATCCTAACGATGGCCAAGGATTTTACCCCAGTCTCAGTACTGCGTGTTTCTACAAGGAACTAACCATGAAGGAATTCCGCAGCCGGTCGCCAAAACTGTGGTCCATGGCATTCTCGGTCGTGGTCGTTGCAGTCTCTTATGTGCGTTGCATCTTTCGGTTATTCGAACCAATTGCAGGATTGTCGCGCAAGTACATTCGTCAATGGCCTGGGTCCAAGGTCAAGCATACGCTGCACTTTCTCGAACGGAGATCCACTAGTCGGAGGCTACCTGCATATTTATGGCAAGTACCGTACCTGGCCTTTTATTCTGCGTTCATTGCTGCGCGCGCTTTCTACGATATTGCTGAATCCATGCTGCTAGAGATCATGTGGCTGGTATTCGCAATGGCGTGGGGCACTATTAAGATATGGACAACAAGAGACTCGGCAAATTACAACTTCGATGGATGGAATTATACGGAGAACCATGAAATCTTGGAAGAGAACGTTTGGTCATTTGGCCAAACTCTGCCACTCGTTCTTCTCCTCCTGCCATTGTTGTCCATGGCTCAAGCCTATCTTGACAACGACGCAAAGGCACTCGAGACGGCCCATCAATCGCAAAGAATTGAAGATGGGTGCAGTTCGAGTTCTTTGGAGAATACCGTCACCCACCATGAGATGCAGGCTAGAAATAACTCAGGATTGGGGAATGCATCAGCGCCCAGCACAATAGCATACAGCGCCGGCATCCATGCATCTCTCCAAACTCCGCCTGTAATGCGAACAACGCGAGAGAAGTCACCTCATCGCCAGATAACCCCTCGTTCACCAACATCCACGGTCTCAACACGCTTATTACCCCAAGAACGTCTTGTCAACCTTCCCATCTACCCATATCCTAGCTTCACATCCAAGCCTTGGTTCAAAGACCAAGTTATCCTCATACTCTGTCAGATCCTTATGGTGGCCGGCCTCGCACTGTATGTCCTCTCAGCATACAGAAATATTTTTGGCATCGCTTCCATACTGCGGAATAGGATCTTTCTCATCTGGATTTTGGGCATTGCACCGCTGGCTTCGCTGCTGCACTTGGCGTTTTGGTATATGGCGGCGCTTGTGATTGGGCGGTGGCGGCGAGCACAGGATTGGTTGATTGGGCAAGGGGATTGTGTGGTTAGAGAGGGATTGGTATGGTGGAGGAGGGTGACGTTGGGGAAAGTAGTGTATTGTTTACTGAGGCTAGGGTTGGGGTGTGGTTGTTTGCTGGGGACATATATTGCGAGTCTTGAGTTGGCAGGGCCTCACGGTCTCAGTCTTAATTGAACGCTTAAAGAAAGCAAACTGCTATAGGAGTATGTATATGATTGTCAATATGCTTGTTGAAAGATCTTGTTGCTTTAGTTGATCATCGTGGCCATGGCTATTTCCCAAGAATATCTGCAAGACTCTCAATGGTGTAGAATGGGTCGATCGAGAGGAAGGTGGTGTTCAGACGTCATCCGCACCCGACCTATGGAGATGGAATCAGGAATGTTCGATGACATGGCCATTGCATTGAACATATTGTATAACATGTGAACGGCGACTTGCCTTGTGAAAAATCTAGTTGGCTCAGGACAGGATACCAGAGAGGATCGAGTAAGTTTGTGGTTGCTAAAACAGCATTCGAAGTGGTAGTCACGTGTGCATTGCGCCTGCGGAAACGGACACCTGGACCCTAGCATTCCCGATCGTCGCCGCCAAATAAATCCCCACATCGCCCATTGCTCGACTCCTTTACCGCCCAACAGAGTACAGCCATTCTTAACCGTCCTCAGCATGGCGCTCGCTACAAAGACGCAGTCGCAGCAGATATTCACCAAATTGAAGGCAAAGCCCGCGAACAAGGTAAGAGCATCAAAGGGAGACAAGAACGGCAGGGCACTAAACATGGATACCATAGATATGTTTCGACTGCGGCGCGAAGAACCCGACATGGAGTTCTGTTCCCTTTGGCATTTATCTCTGTCTCGATTGCTCGTCGAACCACCGTAACATGGGCGTGCATATTTCGTTTGTGCGATCCACCAACCTCGACAGTATGCAAGCCGACAAGAGACTGGGAAGACTGCATACTGACATGACATAGTCTGGCAATGGGATCAATTACGAATCATGAAAGTGGGCGGAAACGAAAGTGCAACCAAGTACTTCCAGTCACACGGAGGCTCTGCAGCCCTCGCTAGCAAGGACCACAAGGCCAAATACACCAGCAATGCCGCCACCAAGTATAAGGAGGAACTGGCACGGCGGTGCGCTGCAGATGCTCGACTGTATGTTTCTACTCGCAATCGTGCTCATACTGCGGTACTGACTCTACAACATCTAGCTATCCTGACGAAGTCGTCATAACAGATGCCCCAGATGCGGCAGGCAGCGAGGGTAACAACACCCCAGCTGGCGAAGACGACGATTTCTTCTCGTCATGGGACAAGCCTACGATCAAGCGACCCTCGAATCCTCCCTCTCGCACCGGTACACCCCGTGTCGGATCGCCATTCCTCAAGCCAGGTGCGAACGGCAACGGAACAGATCGTCCAAAGTCGCCACTCGCAGGGTCTCCCAGCTCTAGCGCACCTACCGCCGTCCCTGCCGCAAAGCCTGCAGCAGTGCGCAAGACGACCGGCGGTGCCGCGCCGAAGAAGAACATCTTGGGCGCAAAGAAGAAGGGCCTCGGTGCGAAGAAGGTGGTGGCCGACAGCGGGTTGGACTTTGAGGAAGCTGAGCGAAAGGCTCGCGAAGAAGCTGAGCGCATTGAGAAGTTGGGCTACGATCCCGATGCCGAGGCTGCTGAAGCTGCCTCTACAAAGACCAAGGCTTCTGAAGCATCCACCATCATATCGCCGACACCCATTTCCCCACCGCGAGGCGGCTTTGGTTCCACATCCAAGCCTGAGCGTTCCAGTCAGGATTTGGAGAGACTAGGCATGGGCGTTGGACGCCTTGGATTTGGCCAGATTGGGGCAGGAAAGAAACCTGCCGCACCACAAAAGAAGATGGGAGGATTCGGAAGCGTGAGCAAGCCAGTTGAGGATGACAGCGAGAAATATGCGCGAGAGAGGTTCGGTACACAGAAGAGTATCGGAAGTGATGAGTTCTTTGGACGAAACGCGTTCGATCCTTCCGCAACTGCGCAGGCCAAGGAGCGATTGTCAGGTATGGTCTCTCGAGACACGCTTTCTACTGTGGCATGCTAACAACATTGACAGGCTTCGAAGGCGCCACAGCCATCTCATCCAACGCATACTTTGGCCGACCAGAAGAAGATGGCGCAGACGAAGACTACGGTGATCTGGAGTCTGCTGCAAAGGACTTTGTTCGCAAATTCGGTCTCACTGCTGGTGATGACCTTGAGAACCTATCCAACATGCTTGGAGAAGGCGCCTCTAGACTGCAAGGTGCCGTCCGAGCCTACCTCAACTCGTAGGAAGATATGTGCGCTTATTTCGCATGATGTCTGCACAGTTTTCGACGCTCTGGCTTACCTAGGATGGATGGTTTACCTGGTGCATGGTTGTTGGAGTGTTGGCGTCGTGGACGCGGTGTATTCGTACATGAGGAGCCTGGAGTACTAGCTGCGGCCACAACCTGTGCATGTTTATTACCTTTGATAGAATCGGAATTCAATATGTCCCCTGTAGACCGGCCAATGGTGTAGTCCTCGGCTTTGGGAATGTCGTCGCATTGAGGGATGTTGCGAGGGCTTCCGAGCGGAAGAGCGCCCACGCCTTCCTCACACGAACGACTTGATGATGCTGCGTATACAGATTTTTACATTTTGCTAATCTACTGTAAACAGGCGTTTTCAGACATATATGATCTAGACAAGCATAATGACGCCTAAATGTCCAGGTTTAATCAACCTAAAGCCCGTAGAAGGACAGAGTACTGACTGCGAGATGAGAGCGGCAAAACCTAGCAACTAGACCACATCGCACGTGTTGTCCTGTTTGATGAAAGAACAGACAGATGGAAACAAGTAGAAGACTTTGCCCAACAGTTTTAGCAGCTTTTGTGTATCGCCGGGATGGGGGGTTGGGTGTAGAGCCAGAGAGTTCTGATGAGTCTTTGCTGCTACCATGAATGAACATACAAATTGCCAATGAAGGCTTTCTATTACCCCTTGACAAAGAAGCATGATAGTACGATCACAGCAGACTTTAAACAGAAAATCATGTAGGCTAACGACAGACTCTGCTCCCTCATCCAATAATTATCGTGCACATGCCGCCCATGCACACAGCACATACAGTCATATCGCAACTCTTACACGACTCTGAAATTACTGGATTCGATTGATCATTCGATTTCAAACAAAGGAAATTGCTCGCGGTCAAAAGATTAGACTGTTGGTGTGCTTCTGCAGGTGCTACCTACATCGCAACGATGATAAGATTGTGCGGCTCGAAAATCTCAAGCTTCGGTCACACCAATCACTACTGCCACTTAGCCATCATCTCCACATTATGCATAGCAAGGCACACGCATGTTTCAAAGTGTTCTTCTGAGCCCTATTATTCCTCATAAAGCTGTTGGGACGTTGAGGCAGGCGTGATCGGGAGTCATGCGCTGTCCAATGCCGGAAATGAGGAAAACCTGTTCTGCTCTCCGTGCCTATGTTCAAAACCCAAGGGTGGTCAATCTACCTTGTTTTAGAGCTTACACGTCGTCAAAAGGCATACCGTCCACAAAAATGAGCTTTAAAACTACAGGTACACATTCCCTAGTGGTCAACTAAAGTCGAAATAACACATCGCTCAACTGCTTCAGATTGGAATACCCGGGATGAGTTTTTCAAATTCACACGCGGTCGGTTTATTTTGGATGAGAACGAAAATCTCAGAAAAAGAGAGGTTGTGTTCGACATGAATGAGCTCGCGAAGGTTGCAGCAGACTCAGTCGGGGCCGCTCAGTGTGTTGACATCAGAAAGTTCGCGGACGGGATGTTCAACAAAGCCTTCCTGATGCTTATGGACGACGGCCAAGAGGTTGTTGCAAAGGTACCCAACCCGAACGCAGGCCGCGCACATTACACCACGGCTAGTGAAGTCGCCACAATGGACTTTGTGAGTATTCTTAAGCTGATCAGTACCGAGTTCGGAGTTCGGACTAAATTAAGCACTGTTGTAGGCTAGGAGAGTGCTTGATACACCTGCGCCTCGTGTTTACGCATGGAACTCGAACGCCCAATCGCATTCAGTTAGAGCTGAATACATCATCATGGAAAAAGCACAGGGTGTTCCTCTCTCTCAGGTTTGGGACGCGATGGCATTACCCAAAAGCTTCAAGTGCTGCTTGCCCTAGTGCAGATTCAAAAGCGGTGGCTGAGCATTTCATTCTCGCACTACGGCGGCTTGTACTACGCTAAAGATATGAAGTCATCTCCGGTGAGCCATTACGTCCAAGACGGCGTAGTCATCAAAAAATCAGAATTCGCTCTAGGACCAGCTACCGGTAGGGACTGGCACGATGCTGGCCGGGCAGACCTAGACATCAGAAGAGGACCATGTACGTCGCAGCCTACAACAGTTTCGTACCATCTCTGAATTTCTTGTAGGGTCCTCGTTGAGTCAGTACTTGCGATCAATCGGTGAGAGGGAGACGAAAGCAACTCAGATCTTGGATCCGCCGAAACAGATAGCTCTGTTCTGTGGCCTCAAACTTTATCAGCCAGATCGCAAAGAGAAGCTCACTGCGCTTGGCCAGTACCAAAAAATTGTCGATGCAATTCTCCCTGGAAATAAAACCATTCGTGGTCCATACCTTTGGCACGACGATTTGCATGATGATAACATCTTCGTCGATCCCAACAATCCTGGAAAGATTACAGCCATCATCGATTGGCAGTCTTGCCACGTCTCGCCTCTATTTAACCACAATGCGGATCCGGCGTTCCTCGACTGGGATGGCCTCGAGCCAGAGAACCTCGATTTGACTCCGAAGCCAGACCTTTCAAGACTTTCCTCTGAGGAGAAATCTGCAGCCCTGCGTGATTACGCCCATGTAAATGTTTTTATCGCGTGGCGAAAACTCATGCAAGCGAAGAATCCAGACTTGTTTGAGGTAACAGAGTTCCAAAAGACGGCGTCATACGGGCTACTGTTTCTAGCACACAGGATGTTTGAGTACGGCGAGGCGCACTTTCAGTCTCTTTTAGTAGATTTGAAGGATACATGGCCAACCCTGACAGCAATCACAGGCCAGAGTCAATTCCCCTTCGATTTTTCGGATGCTGACATTGAGCGCATCAAGTCAAAATGTGATTGTGCGGTGGCTGGAACAGAACTTGTGGCGCAGGTGAAGGAAACTATGGGCGAACTGTGGCGGATAAGGGCTTCATTGACCACGAGCGCTACGATGCTTGTAAAGCGGCACTTGAGGAAATGAAAGAACAACTGATTGAGCAGTTGGCGGAGACCGAGGAGGAACGAGCGGAGTACGAACGCTATTGGCCATTCGACTAAACACGACGAATATCACTGGTACCTTCAGCGGTTTGAAATACATACTTCCAAGCGCAGCACAACGCCGAAAATTCATATTAGCTTCCCACTTGACTGCAACTGTATCATCGGCATGGAGTTTGGGGAGCTGAATATCGGGGTTAGCCTACACTACGCCCGTTGTTTGAGTACAAAAGTACGAGAAGGACTTGGATGCTGTCACCAATATTATAAAAACAGTATGTATCCACGACTAGAGAGCAGTCCGAAGACAGACAGGGTATTATTGCTGATAGCTTAGAATACTAAACATGAACTACAACAGGGCGAATGTGCTGAGAAGATCTGTCATATCGCCAACCTAGCCCCGTCGATGCGTCAGGATCCCGTAATTGCTCAAAATGCATGAGTATCCATGCGAATTACGGATAATGATCTAAGTAGCTATAATATAAAGTGGCTAGTATTAGAATATAATAGTTAGTTCTTACTACTTAGGAATAAAAGAGCGATAAATAAGAAGATAAAGTATGTAAATATATTAATATAACTACTTATTATTAAAGGTTAAATATAATCTACTAAAAGGGTATTGTATAGTTGTTATACTTCCTTATAGTTTCTTATAGTTTCTTATTATAAGAATCTATAAAGCTAATTAAGACGAATAAAAGTAGTCACTTAATACTGGTTTTGTAGGCTATGTTCCTAACGCGGGGTTCTTTGTCTTAACCCTGCCGCTTTGTATTCTTATAACCACACAGCTTCTCTTAAGGTTCGTATCACCACCCCTTTGTGGAACATGTATTGGTGGGATATTGATAAGATATTGATATTGCGACACTTACGTAACTGCCCTTGGCAGATTGCTTTGCTAGCCAGTGGCCATAATGCCCAATTCCTGGTTCGTCGATTGGTCAACTTCGGCGCGCCTGCTAACCCAACCTTCCAAGGCTGTGTGCGACAATCAGAGAAAACAGCCCAGAAGACATATCCTTGCACAGCTTAAGATATGTGAGAACATTCTATTCTAGGTGGATGGGCTTGTATGTTTGCTTTGATAAGGAGAACATCTAAGACCTCTTTTGCCACAGTCGTTAACAAGAAACAACAGTCGACCTGTCCATGTGGAGCTTTGGGCGTCTACCTATCAGTGACGGCTGTCAATATGTCCTTACAGAGGTTCGAATCATTAAAATCACACTATTAACGTCTCGTGAAGACGCCTCTAATATTCAAATATCGGTTCGGTACTTGCAACATGCCTGATCAGCGCTGCCCATTGTGATCGTAGGCTTTTCCCAGGAATGCTTTGACGCACAATCCCTTGTTTCTACCCTCCCTATGTTGTTGCCCACCGCTTCCCTTCCCTTCCCTTCCCTTCCCTTCCTCCTGATCAAATCAACGATTTACATGTACTCGTACTGACAAGATGGTCTTCGCGACCCATCGCTATCATTTCGTATTTCTTGCCTTTCTCGTCGTTTTTTCCGCAATCTTGTTCTTTCAGCGCAACGAAAACGTGTTTTCAGCTGGCTTTTCCAGAAAGTCACACAGGTAAGAAATAGATATCTATACCTGAGCCTGGCCGCACGCTTATGCCTATATAGCCCACCGAGACTCAGCACAACCGACACGTTTGCGAATCTATTCCGCCCAATCAAGCTCAGTCCTACCCATCCTGGATATCGCGATGTCAACGGACACTTCATACCCGGTGCCCCTGCTGATGAAGTCATATGGACGAGACCACTCGGCAAGAAGGTACTCATAGTCGACATTGACACCCGAATGCCCACAGGCGAGAACCAAATCTTCAATACGGAGAAGAAGATCAACTGGGAGAGACTTGAATATCATGACGCTGGCCTAGTGACTGGTGGTATATCTTTGCACTATCTGTATGCCATGATTCATGGTTACGACTACATGCATTATCAGGCCCTCGAGATGCACGACATTCATCAAACCTGGATCAAGCCGCACGTCTTCAAGGAGCTTCTGCCAGACTATCAATTTGTCGTCTTCTTTGACGCTGATTCTGTAGTTGCACACCTTGAGATTCCCCTTGAGTGGATGTTCAACCGATGGAAGATTGTACGTGACCACAGCACTGTATCACCGGGAGATGTTCACTGATCGCGTAACTCTGCACAGACCAAGAATACAATGATTGCAATGCCACACGATACCGAAGAGTGGAGGAACGGCAATCCTATCAGTCAAGATTCTACTGGGATTCCTGTGCAGAATTCTGGGTTCGTGGTTCTCCAAAACAGCAGTCTAACGTTCGACATGCTTTCCGCGTGGGCTGGCTGCACCACGGAGGAGCGCTATAAGGGATGCGCAGTGTGGAAACATGAGTGGAGTCATGAACAACGTGCTTTCGCCGAGTTTATTCGGCACGATCCTGAATTCAACGTTGCTCCCGATGGCATCGTCGAGATTCCATGCGATGATGCCATGGGCTGGGAAGGCTTCAAGGAGCAGGTGGAATCTGCAGGGGATGCCGCTTACAAAGTCGCAGACTGCAACGGCCGTTTGGTCCGCCACTACACGCTTGGCAAAGAAAGATTGAAGGAAGAAGGGAGCGGAATTGTTATGCAGAGCTTGATGGAGATCGTCCAGAAGAACATCATCAAGCACCAGGCTGCGACGTACAAAAAAGAGCACGATCCCACCATGGTGGAGGATTACGACAAGGATACTGATTACGATGAGATTGAGAAGCTAAATTCTGCAAAGATGTCAGATAAGAACAAAGACGAAGCAAAGAAAGGGCTTGATAAGGTTCTCGAGGGGGGCAAATTAAAAGATAACGTTGAAAAACTGGATGACAAGCCTGGAAAACTAGATGACAAAATAGACAATGCTGGAGATGGGGACGAGGAGGAGGAGGATGAGGATGAATATGAAGACGAAGATGAGACCGATACAGACGAATTGGGCCGTCTTAAAAGCATCAAGGAGAAGTTGAGTCAACAGAACGAGGCTAAAAAGAAAGAATTGGAGACTTGGAAGAAAGAGCAAGAACTTAAAAAGCAGGAGGATGCATTTATGAAGAAACAGAGCGAGCTCAAGGAGAAAGAGGAAGAGTTGAAACAAAAGGAAGCGGTGATGAAGAAAAACGAGGAGGAGCAAGCGAAGAGAAAAGAGGAGAAAGCTAAGGAGAGGGAGGACAACAAGGAAAACGCAAAAGAGAATGAGAAAAAGATGCAGGAAGAGGAGAAGGAAGATGACTCCTCAAAGAATGACGATGTTGAAAAGAAGGACTCTGCAAAGGAGAAAGTCAAAAAGAAGGAAAATAGAGGAGAAACTAAGCAGGAATTTCGTGCCTAAGACAGTTACACATCTCGTTCTATACGCCTAGAAAAACATATGGATGAGCAAGCGAGAGAGGAAGACATGGCATACCGGCGAACGACTTAACAAGCAAGTGAGAAACCGCAAGATTTTTCCTGCACAGTTGGGAAGTAGGGAAATTTCTCAAAGGAGCTGGGAGCAAAGTGTGTGCTGGGATCACTGTTAGATAGTTATGCAGTTGGCCTGTACTAATCGAGCATATTTATTCGCGCTGAGGTGTGTATGGTACTGGTGAGCAATGCGAGAGACGCCTACCTAGTCGAGTCCCTGACGCTATTGTCTCGCCTTGTAGGGCAGGCCCACTTTGCATAGTGTACCTGCAAGATCCATCGAGGAATCCTGTTCCTTTCGTTCGGTTTCAGTGGGAGGCCTGATGCCTAAGAGCCTAGGGTTCGCCTCCTGCGCCAAGTGTTGACACTTTCACGTACTCACTCAAATCGGTGTCGCCTTGCTGCGCCTCCACCTCTCGGCTCTGCTCGCCCGTCTCATTGTGGTATTATAAAAGCATGTGAGCCTCCGCTTCACGACCACAGTATACATTTCCTCGAGTGTTGCATACTTCCTGCAAAACCTACTCGTGAGCATCTCAATCTAATCATGTCTGCCCTTCACATCGCACTGCTGTACGCGGCAACAGTAAACTCACAACTCACAACCTCAATCTTATTGCCCATGGACAGCTACGGCACCGACAAAATCGGTTTCCTGGGCTCCGTGGGTGGCGCGAATGAGACGCACACCACCATCGCTCTCGAGTACGACAATGGGACTGACTGGCAAGCCTTAGAACTACCACGCAATGTAACCCCTGCGACTGTAACGATTGGACCTAATATGTACGAGGCAGCACAGGACCTCTATTACCTAGCCCAAGGAATTCGTACGACTGAGGGAGATTATATGTACAAAGTCCACTGTGATCTGCCTAGTAAGCCGACTGCCAATGCTTCATGTATCGCTTCCTACGGACCTCTGGCTGGTGCAATTATGCAATGCCAAGTTGGAGGCAGCTATACTTCAACAACCTACGAGACCAATACCCACACATACACGCCGCGTGGTAGCGTCTCCGGAGGCGTCGAAATGCTCACACGCACCATGGTCCTCCCAGAGCCAAGGGAGAACCGTCCAGATTGGTGTGGTGAAGAGTCTTATTCGCCAGAGGAGAGTTATGTAACCGAGTTTCAGGTGGAGCCAACATACATTGCCATGTATCAGGTTGTGGTTACGGCCGGAGAGGAGAAACTCGGTGCAACGAGTAGAGCGAGTGCTACGCCTGGGACTGCGACACCAACATCTTCACTAATGCCTGCTGCCAGTAATGTAGACTCCGCTGTTAGTCCATCGGCGACAGGCGCTGCTGCGTGTATGGTGATGGGACGGCGAGCGATGTTTGGCGTAGTTGCTGTTGTTATTCTCATGGTGTAATTTCTTTCGGAGATAGCGTCTACCCTGTCCTCTGTACCTGCGAGTGCTTGGATGGCCTACTCGCCTGACAAGTACAAGCGGTGTATAGACTGAGTCCTTAATGGCATGATTGTTCCATTCCCGTATATCTGAACGCTATCTCTTCATGCATTTTCAGGCCTTCGGTAGAGGCTATCGCCTTTTTGATGCCTTTTCTGTAGCTCTGAGGTCTCGGTCTATGAATTTTCGCCACTGTCTTGCTGTTTCGCATTCATGGGCATTGCAATAGCACATACTAGTGACTAGTAGAAACCGAGCATAACGGTTAGTGATTGGTACTGAGTGGAAGGTGGTTCGAGCGAGCTTGCCTCGAGAGTGGATCTGGCGGTTGGTAGAATGGAGTGAGTGTAGGTAGGCTCGGAGAAACCGATATTCACACTGTTTTGGGAGGGGAGGGGGTTGTGATGTAGATATAAAGTTACTGTATAAGCAAGAGGATTATGTGATCTTCACCAGGGGTAGGTGCAAGGGAAACTCTGGCGAAGCAACGACAAATGCGAGGGTACCTGGGCTAGCTCAAGCAGTGGGGATACTTCGAGTGGAGCATGACAAGCACACTGACTTGCCCAACTATTCGATTGACTGGCATAGCTGCCGCTCGACAACAAACAGCATATGTTGGAATGAATGAGCGACAACAGTACTTTGCAAGGCTGCTTTGGGGGAACTGGCCTCATTAGACAGCGAAGATGACCTGTTGAAAAGTGATGATGGAAAAGACCTGGAAGTGACGTGATGGACTCTAAGGCCTTGTACCTGTGGCAAATTGCGTTTCGACAGCATGACGTCCCAAGTGGTGCAGGCTTTGATCTCCTCTTGAGTCTTGTCTTGGCTATCAGGAGTTTCGCGCAACAGAACTTATACAGACCCATGATATAGATATCTTTAATGCGGCATCCTGCTTGTGGCATTTTTGTCAAGTCCATACTACGGGTAGATGTAACACAATAGCTGCAAGTAGCGTGCTGGCGTCCACCAGGGTAATCGACATGGGTAAACGATGTAAGACGTCGCCCCGTTCCTTCCGTCGGTCCCAGAACCTAGGACTTGGGAATAGCCCTGACTTTGGCGCCAAACGAACGTCGACTTTCCATGCTGCTCGTAGGTCATATCGAAATCGGGAAATCTATGCTTTTAGCAGTGCTTTTGGTACCTTAGCATCTGAAGGCCTGGTCGAGACGCGACCGAGGACAGGCCGTGACAGTGACGGCAAGATATACAGGGACCTTGTCTGTTGTCTATAATCATTGGCAAAGCCCCTATTGTGGGCTCTGACGATCCGCATGATGGATGATACATCCACATAATGGTAGCGAGACTTGTGTCGTGAGAGTTAATGATTGTCCGGTGGGTATGTAACGATTTTGTGAGCACCGGCCATTTTACGACAGAGTGTATCTTTGTCGGAGATTGCACTTCCCTGCAAGATGAGATGCCAGAGTTGATGATCTCTCGTCGTGCATCTGGTGAGATTTGGACCCGATATGTACCAGATTGTGGGGTAGCCATGCCATGATGAGTTGCACAGATCCAAGTACCGAGCGTCATGGAAATCTGGGGTAAGCACCGCTGGAAAAGAGGAGTCGGATCTGCCAGTACATACTTGTCGCTGAGATGAAGCCGGGATTCTAGCCCGCATACCAACAGTCAAGCGCGAAACAATATGCTTCATGGACTGATACAGACAGATGAAGCGATCCCATCGGGTCACGAGTCCAGTCACGTGGCGCTCGCAATACATGACGGGAATGGCTTACTTTTTGCAAAAGCGGGTTGTATGGGCTGTCTTCCTCGAAGGTGGACAGGCTGGGCTAGAGCAAGTTGGACTAGCTAGAGTACAGTGACGGGTGGGTAATAGCATCGACCAATTTCAAGGAGGCCATGGGAGGATCAAATCGCTAAATATTACTAGTTGTGGTAAAGGTCAAGTTATCCCATGTTCGGCTGGCCAGTGCTGACCCGTGGCGCGTGGGAGCCATGGCCCTCTGAGCCCACAACTGAGATCGCGTGCCTGTTGTGGAAGAGGATGCGGGACTGTGCAATACATGTCAGTACATGCATTGCATCTTACTCGGGGCCAGGGGCTTTTTCGAGATGAGCCTTGTCATGGCTGCTTTGGAATGGGAGGTAGGGGGGAGTGGGGGGTAGATCATAGGAGCAAACCTTTGGAACGCCGCAAAGCCAGTACCTCTCTCTTGGCGTCCTTTATCCAATACTCAACATGAAAGTCAGGGAGTCCAGCAAATGCCTGAATCCTGCATCTCCGCAGGCTCCCGACGCTATGGATACTGGGATGGCTTTGCCAGCCACTTGTCAAGTACAGAATCTCTCGGACTCGGAACACCGCCAGAGATTTGCAGCCCCTGTAACCAGCCCGACGAAGCGCTTCGTATGTGAGAAATTGCCTAACTTGTAGCATCCAAGGCGCCAAGACGTGCCGCCCATAGTCGGCGTTATGCTCAAAGGCTACGAAGCAGGAACCAATGGTGATAACCGAGGCTTGATAGCGGAACGTGCATTCCGGAGGTTCCAAGATTGACGGGAAGAGGAGAAAAGTTGTGGACAACGGTGACGGGACAGTAGCCTTGTTCCTGAGTTATGGCAACAATTTGTGTGGAACTGATCCTGCGGAGCAGACGCCCTTCGCCGAGCAGAGTAATCTCTCCATGTCGACGTACATGGGTTCTGTGGATAAGCTCTCGATGCCGATGTACAGTACCTATTCTATGTGCTTGTGACAGTCTGCAACACCAAGCAAACTTGTCGAGGCTTCTTCACGGCGGACAATTCTTGAGTTTGGCCGAGGTAGCAGAGAAGCACTGGTCGTGAAAAATCACTAATTGGACATTGTGTTCACCCATACCAGACGTTTGTAGGTAAGAAAAGGGTAGATCATGTGTAAGCCGTGCGCCATGTACTCATCTGCAGGTCCCCGAAGAGAGTTGCCAGCTGGTGGCAGACCAGTGGTCGGATTGAGGTTGTCACAAGTCATCGAGCCGACGCCCTAGGTAGCTGCTGGGCCCACGGGATGCATAGGTACGGTAGGTACCGGTAGGTACTGGTCCCCAGCCGGCAATCATAACAGAGTCACACATAAGCGCAGAGAGTTTCAGCCAGCCACCAGTGACGATGGGCGGATCTTCGGGGGGGCGGGGAGGCTCGATAGATACCTATATCGAAAGTCAAGAAAGGTCCTACCATACGGTAGGTACCTACTGGACCTAGGTACTGTACGGTACCGGTACCAGATGCAATGTCATCGCCATGCATGAATCCGCACCAAGCCACTCTGAGTGAAGAGTACTCGCTGGCAACAAAGTTTCACAGTGTCATGTGAAGGCTGGGTAGGAGGAGCAGACCACTGTGGCGATGAGATGCTGAAATGCCCCCCAAAAAAAAAGAGACCGGGGGGTGAAAGTATTGGCCAGAGCGCCAAGCAAATGCCCTGACGTTCAACCTTTCCGAAGCCGGACACAATGCAGCGTCCTCCACTCCACCTGAACAGTCACCCACGCACAGTGAATTGAGGGTGGTGGCATGTCATATGACCATGGGTTTAGCGTCGGGCGACTTGGGCTTTACTCCAAGTGGTTAGAATATCCCTGTAGGTTCAAGTCCACGTCACAGCAGCAAATTTTTATAGTTATATAAACTAGCCTATAGTTAAGTATAAATTAGGGTAATTTAAGCAAGTAAACGTAGTTTTTATTACTATCTTTTTTAAATATGTTCTAAACCTATTCTTAATAATATATAGGCGTTCCTAAATACTATACTAGAGTTTAGTATAGTAGTACTAGATAATATATCTAAACTAGATAGTAATATTAGAGATAAATTTAGGCAACTATATAAAGTGCTAGAGGAGGATAGTAGCAGTAGTGTTAAGGAAGTAAGTAAAAGTAAATAGAACAAGTTTAGAACAGGTTAGTAACACGTTACAGGGGCATAATATATACCTTACTTATAGTAATAGTTAAGGACTACTACTTACACTAGCAATTATTAAGCATGCAGCTATTCTCCTAGTATACCCTTAATTATATAGCTAAGGGTATAGGTATATAATACTAGTTTAGCAATATAAAGATAGCTCTTACCTAATAAGAGAAGAGGTGCTTGTGCAGGCTACACAGGTAACACGTTAAGAACACGTTCTTAAATTATTCTAATTCTAGCAGGTACAATACTCCTGCTAGTCTATCTATCTTAACAGGCCTATAACTTCACTATTCTTTAATAGCTAGCTAGCAAGCTAGTATAAATACTAATACTCTAGGGTAAAAGCGTGTAAGTATCTTAAGAACACGTTATAAACGTATTCTTATTACGTTATTAATAACACATTATATAATTAGATCTAAACCTTAAAAAGTGTAGTACCTAAGAAAATTCTATAAAGAGAACTATAAATAAGAAGCTATTATTATAGCCTTATTAAGCGCTTCTCTTTAAAGATTTATAAGGACTACTAGGTATCTTATTATCCTATAATAAGGACTATAGTAAATTAGGTAGGGAGCAAAACTTAAACATATTTAAAATATATTAATAATAAGTTAGTAAATTATAGAATAGGCTTAACTATATATTAGCTATTAGAACTATAGCCTAATATCTACTACTAGGAAAAAATATTATTTTAGTTAGGTACTACTAGAGGTAGACTCTATATATCTATAAGGTCTTCTAACTAGAGAGATATTAAATCTTTCTAGTAGTCCTGCTTTATATTCTATAGTTAAGCTATAGTTAAGCTAGATAAAGAAGTGTGGTAGGCATATTACAACCTATTCCTAACATGTTCCTAACATATTCTAGGCGTTAATTATCTATAAGGGCAAGGATCTCTATTTAAAATCCTGTATAAAGTTACCTTCTAAGTAATTATACTAATAGATATAGTAGTAATACCTTTTTTTGCTATTATTTCTTTTAGTATATATATATATATACCTCCTCCTCCCTTAACACTATCTAATAGTAATATTAAGGAAGTAGTAAAGGTGTTGTAGCCTATGCTTACTCTATAGCTTACGCAATATAAGTTGTTTATAACCTATTATAAATATATTCCTAACTTATTATAGCCTAGTTCCTAAACTTAACCTAGCTCTAAACCTATCTCTAACTTAAAGGTTTCTATTCTATTAAAGAAATATATATTAGCTTTGCAAATAAAGATAAAATCTTGCGTATTATAAAGCGTAAAAAGCTTCTATAGTTCCTATTTAAGAGTAGCCTTAGAGGAGTATACTATAAGTGGAGGATAAAGCATTAGGATCCTAAAACTATACGTGGTGTAAGAGAACAGGTTTAGAACACGTTGCTAACACGTTACTATAGGCGTATATACAGCAAATCTTTATATTAAGCTTAGGTAACTTAATTATTTACCTTTTTAAAGAGTAGGCATTAATTCTATTAGATTAAGACACGTTCTAGATAGATATGTTATATAAGAGGTTATATAGGGTATAGGTAGAGATTCTAATAGTAATCTTCTACCTATAGGAAAAGAAGCGTACGCATTAAGAATAGGTTTATAACATGTTTCTAATATATTATAGTTATTACACTTAGCTAAATTATTATAGATAAGGATATAACTAAGATATATTAAGTTACTATTACTAACTTCTTTTAGAAGTGTAAAGCACTTATAAAAAGATAAGTATTATAGAGGTATATTTACTTATAGGGATTCTATAGGACTACTATTAACATGTGTAACAAGTAGATAATAGGCAAGTTTCACAGCGCACCGCAATATGTTTGTAACGTGTTTCTAACTTGTTTCTAGGACTTAGGCGCTATCTCTAGTTAATTAATCCCTACAAGCGTAACTAGCGCTAGCAACTTTAATCTTGTATAAGATTTTATTAAGTATATCTATAAAGAAGTATTTACAAAGTATATAAAAGAGAGCTAGATAATACTACCTCTTTACGTCTAAGTAAATTACTACAGGTATTAATAGTAGAGGAATACTTTTAGCTTGCTAACCTCCTCTTATATAAGTAAACATATTCTAAACCTATTCTAAACGTGTTCCTAACTTGTTCTTATATAATTAGAACATAAACCCTCTAAAGATGCCTAAAACTAGGCAATCTATAAGAAAAACCTAGTAATTACTACTAGGATTGTGCAATGCTATAGTAAAATATTAAAAGAGGTATAGGAAAAACTAGAATCTTATTTAAATATAGCTAAGCAAGCAGGCTAGAAAGGATATAAAACTAGTAAGTATATAAGTATTCTTAAGGCTACTTAGAAGTAAGTTTATAACCTATTCTTAACCTGTTAGAATTGTATAAGTAATATTGTGTAGTGCACACTAGATAGATCTATAGGATATAAAAGAGTTTAAAGCCTAGAGCAAGTTTAGAATACGCTATAACTATAGAACTCCTAATAGGCTTAAGCAAAGGTACCTTAAAAAGCTTTAGAGGGGAGAAAGTAAGTCTTACGCTAGCGTTATGCATATTTGCTAATTAAAACGTGTTTAGAACGTGTTTAGAACGCGTCCTATAATAATAATAACACTCTAGATAATAATAAAGCAAGTCTTGCTATATCTAACTTAACTAGATATATCTTAGTCCTAATAAGAAATAAAAGAGCACGCTTAAAAGCCTAAAGCTAGAGGGCAAGTAGTAGAGTGGTATTAGAAAGAAGTTTACTAGCCCCTTTTCTATCTTCTCTACTACTAGGCTCTTCTCCTCTACTAATAGTAACCTAAAGGTATGCTTCGCGAAACACGTTTACAACACGTTCCTAACTTATTATTAGTCTATAACTATAAACTTTATAATAAAAGGCTCTTCTTAGTAATTAGGCTCTAAAGGAGAGAAAAGAAAAGCTAGAGGTAGATAAGGAAGAACTTATATAGAAAAAGGCACTGTTTAAATTGCAAAAGGCATAGTTTAAACTTAAGAAAGAGATAGCTACTTTTTATACAAGGCAGGGTTAGTCTATAAATATAGTAACTAGTTCCTAACTAGTTCTTAATATATTCTAGTCTATTACGTAAGCATATATAAGTAGATAAATATATATTCTTTCTTCTTCTCTTTCTTCTTCTTTCTTCTTACACTCTACAAGAACTTTTTATATTTAAGAGTTTAATACTATTTTACTATCTATCTTTCCTAATATTATTAGATATAACTAGTTAATATAGTCTATAAAGATCTTTTAAAGTTAGTATATAATAGAACGCGTTAGGAACACGTTATAAACTTGTTCTAATACTAAGTAGGATTTATACTAGCGATATATTAAGCTTAAGTCACTTCTATCTAATACTAGGGTATTCTCTCCTACAATATCCTACCTAAATAATAGGTGTATAGTATTTCCTAGCAAGCTTTTCTACTAGGCTATTTAGGCTAGATTAGGGGTATAGGAACTTTATAGAGTATGTATATATGCGAGTTAGAACACGTTTATAATATATTAATAACTATTTTAGCGTTGCTTCTCTAATAGAGGCAATCTTATCTACTACCTTAAGAGGTATTATCCTAAGGTTTAAATAGCCCTAGTAAACTATAGCAGAACTATAATATAAGGCATTATAGAAGCAAGGATCTTCTATAGGAGCTTAATAGTAAATGCTTAAGAACGTGTTCTAAACACGTTAATAATACGTTCTCTACTAGTAGAGTAGACTATACTAAGTACCTCCTCTAAGGTTTAAGAACCCTTTAAGATAGCTAGTCTATAACAAGAAGTAGTAGCTAGAGTAGAGGCTAAAGAGGAAGTAGAGAGTAAAGAAGAGAAGTAAATAGTTACTCCCCTTTACACTATAAATAATATTTAGTAAAAGTAGCAAAAAGGAGATATAAGTCTAGTCTCTTAAAACACGTTTAGAATATATTAATAATATATTATAGCTAGACACCTATAAATGCTAGATTCTTCTTTAATCTAAGGGACTACTAGAGCTTTATAATACCTATAAAAGTTAAAAGAAAAAGTTATATACTATTAAAGGACCCTATAAAAGTAAATAGTACTTTACTTTTAGTAGATAGAAAAAAAAAGAGAAGAGTAGAGAGTTTATTTTAGTAATTACTACTACCCCTTTAGGTTATATACTATTATATATTATTTATTAGAACCTATTCTTAATATATTCTTAACGTGTTTCTACTTATTACTATTATTATCTCCCTCCCCCTCTTTAGTATCTTCTCTATCCTCCCTATCCTCCCTAGGCTCTACAAAAGCATACCGCAAGTAAAACTAGGTAGTATTCTAGCAGGAATTAGCAAGGTCTACACTAGTATTAAAGTAACAGTCTTAAAATATATTAGGAATAGGTTAATAATATATTATAAACAACTTACTATAGCTAGGATAATTATAAGTGTAGATAGTATAAGGAACCTAATAACCTTAAATCCTTAGTAGGGTAGATATAGTAATAAAGTTAAGCTATAATAAGTTAGTAACGTGTTTTTAATAGGTTCTTATAGGCTGTACCTTATTACTATTATAGCTACTATAAGTCTTCTTCTAAATTATATTTAGGAGGGTATTAGTATTTATAGGGGGGCCTATAGTAGCTACTAGCTAGGCTTAGAGAACTTCTATAAAACACGTTAGTAATAAGTTTTAAATATATTCTAAATAACTTATAGTAAGGAGTATTCTAGTAATTATATATAACCTTTATATAGAAGTCTATATATATTAGTATAATAAGTTAAGAATAGGTTAATAATATATTTACTCTTTACCTTGTGGACCTCTATTATAGAGGGCTAGCTAGTCTTCTTAACCCTACTAACCTTATAGTAGGCTATATTAAGCCTATAATCTTTTTTAGTATAGGTATATAGAGTGCCCCTAGTACCTAGAATAGCCTAAGAATATTAGAACCTATTTAGAACATGTTTAGAACCTATTCTTACTCTATATAAGGTGCCCTTATTATTAATCTTAGCACAGTAGTAGCGCTCTCTACTCTCTATCTTAACTACCCTATTAGGGCTAACTATAGGCTATACCCTAATATTATCTAGGACGTGGCTAAGGGCAAGGTACTATTAATAGTGCTTCTATAACCTATTAAGAACACGTTCTAAACATGTTTTAATCTACTTACATAGGATAAGAGGGATACGTTAGTAACAGGCATAGTAGTAGTAGCTTATAGTGTTACTAGTATAGAATATATTTAGAATAGGTTTAGAACACGTTGTAAAATCTTATAGTATAATGTTTAGTTAACCTCGCTTAGCTAGCTAGTAGAGCTTGGCACGGCCTAACCCTATGCCAAATACGAGTTCACGCAGCGCTAATTCTATGGTCATATGAACTGCGCCCTCGAATTGAGGCTACCGACCTCCACGTTTCGTCCTTGGTCGTCGCGCATCCACAATCCCTGTGTCACTCACAGACCACATCCGCCATCCCTCACCTTATTCTGCTGCGAGCGATGCCTTAGCGCAAGCCACGCGGATGAACCTCGCATTACCACTGCGCCGAATCGAGATTATGTTTCCTCTGCATTCACTCTTGCCCTCTGTGTCATGAGAAGCCAATTGCTAAAGCTGAGAGTAAAGCCCCATGTGCCTCGCTCATCCCAGATAAGCATAGGTCTATTCTAGTGCCTACCACACACACGCACACACTTTTTCTCCGGGCCCCTGTAAACACCCACTGGCTGTGCCATCGTTTAACGATAGCCTGCTATTCCTGTCAATCTTCGGAAGGCTAGCTCTCTTGTCTTCTCTTGGTCTTACCGGCGGTGCTGGCCTAATGGTGCGTGCATCTATCTTTGAGTTTAACTGACAGCAGGTCTCCTTCCATACCGTACGGCTCCCCGTGGACTTGCACAATCGGCTCTCTTGTGCCTCGCCATCACAGATCACCGGGCGAATTATTGAAGGTATCCTCTCCGCGAGTGACTTGCCTACCTTGATTGGGGTGTATTATTGCTACCTGTGGCTTCACTGCGCGTTTGTGGACCCCTCGCAGATCTTATTAAATAGAAGATCGCCATTGCTGTGAACATCAAATCACTTAGGCTTGCTGTAGCCGCTTTCCGGTGGGCCAATACCATTTCGTCTGGTCTCGTGTCGCACGGCTTTGGGCTTAAGCATCTGCCCAGGTAAGCCTTCCTTCCTTCTTCCACAACCAGCTTCGAAAATATCTAAAGATGCTACTTTATATTCCTGGCTGACCTTCCATGGAGCTGTTTTGCTAAGCTGCTACTGTCTTGTTTGTCTGAAAATGGCCAATAAACCTTCAGAGGCCGTCTCTGTCGGGGCTGGTGATGCATCACCACCGGCCGTTGCAGCCTCGTCGACGTCCAAGATGAGAAAAAGAACCAAAACCGGCTGCCTCACATGCCGGAAGCGTCGCATTAAGTGTGGGGAGGAGCGGCCGACTTGCGGAAACTGCATCAAATCAAGGCGACAGTGCGAGGGCTACAATCAGCGCGTAGTCTTCAAACCGCCGATTGGAGACTGGCCAAATCATCCAGGAGTGGTCAGCACTATTCAATATCACACTTCCTCGCTCCCTGGATCAGGCAATCAGCAACATAGAGCGCCCGAGCAACCCGTACCTCCGCAAGAGAATCTGCACATCTCGATAGGGTCCCATTCTTCAATTGAATTCGACTTCCCCACCGTGGACCATACTCCTGGCGTTCAACATGGCGGCTATGGACACAATCCAGCATACCAACAGCCCCTGCAGTCACCACTTTACCAGCAGCCACTTCATTCCCCTCGTCATCCGTTACCAATGTCTGCGACAACGTCATATTTTGCCCAACCTACGCCAGTCCACCCAAGTGCGCCCCCTCATTTCACGCATGATACAAGCGGTAGCTATCAAGAGACTCTCACGTATGACCCTAGTGCAACATATCCACCAGGATCGGTTGCGTACGACAACAATACGGAATCTAGGCCCACATTTGCTCAGAATCTAGCACATCCTTCGCTTTATCAACAACAGTACTCCTCGGCCACTCAGCAAGACATTGGAGGCCTGTACCGTTCACAATCGAACGAATCACCTCAAAATGTTCAGTATGCTCGATATACAGAGTCACAATCAGTACTGCAGCGATATGATGGTAACCCGCTGGCCCCCATTCATTCGCTTCATGCAGACTCAGCGGATATGAGCCAAGCTGGGTCTTATAATCTTTCTTCAGCTGTTTCCCATGCTGATTTTAGCCATGCAAGCTATTCGTCTGTCCAATTACCCACTCATGATCTAACGCCAGATACAAAGTATATGCCACAACCTGTCCTCGGTATGTCCCGTGTTTAAGTACATACTTCGTATACCCCAATGACCATCATTACCTTGTTTTCGGAATCCAATAGCATCTATCATCTTCCTTCAAGCCGTGCATGCCTCCTATTATCACAACCCAGTAGCAAAGTGGTATCATGTGCCGATTTTTGGGAAACCCTACCACGTGCAGCAAGACGGTTCCCTCCAAAACTTGTAAAAGCGAGCGAACAAACAGCTAACCGCTTATACTAGAGCAACCTGTTGCCGTGTCTCAAATACGAAAAAGTCAGCCTGAACTCCTACTCAGTGGCTTTGGTGGCGCAGATTACGCCAGTCCTACACAGATACTCGACGAGGCCGCTATCGAGAACGCAGACGACGACTACTGGGATGTACAATCTGACGATGAGATGCTCGACATGAACATTAGCGACGAGGACGCCCTGTTAGCAAGCTCAGAATTTAGCATCATACGTCGGATACACAACGAGAATTTCAACGAATTGGGGATTCGTCGTTACGACGCTTTCCTTTATGATGGTCTTTTGTCGCATTACAAACCAGAGTATGCTGCGAGCCCGTTGAGGAATCCAAAGACTGCTCGAGTATTCGCGCATTACATCCATGTTGTAAGTCGAGCTTCCAAGCGCTACTCTGTCCTCGTAGGAGCTCCACTTACCCGAAGCTCTTCCCATACACCTCCCTTGGTATTAACATTTAGCTCAACATCTTTTACGGATAACTTATGAAAATTGTCGAAATGTATCTTGTCCGAAGGCTGACCATCACATGAAGACAGGGCCTACATTGTCCATATACGAGCGAAACCCCAGAAATCCTACTTTGATCTTCGAAGGGGCAGCACCTCCCGCTCAACAAGGCCTATGGACCTATATATTACCTCTGAAAGCCCTTGCGCACCAGGGATTGCTGCACGCTATGTTAGCACTTGCAAGTCTACACATTGCCCGACTACAGGGGGCGTCTGTCACGCCATCCTACAAGCACTACGCATACTCCATCAAGCGCCTCGTGCGTTCACTCGGGAATGCGAAGAAACGTCTATCAGTATCCACTCTAGCAACCTCGATGCTACTAGCTTACTATGAAGTTTGGATGGCAGAACACGTCAAGTGGTCTACACATTTAGTCGGAGCACAGAGACTGATCACAGAGCTCGACTTCCGTTCACTCACTCGCGAGGCACGCCGACTTAAGGCGGCACAGACGGCGGAGGAGCGCCAGTATCCATATCAACATCCTGAGATGCGCATCAACCAGCGACAGCTCGATGCCAGATTGAATGAGCGAGCCATGATGCCAGATGAGCGTGTGGTCAGCACCATTGTTGGTAAAGTCGTCAGCTGTGATGAGTTCGGCATGATCTTTGAGGAGCATGGAGCAAGACAGGAGACGAGATCAGATCTGCCGGGACGGTTGGACTTGAGAAGC